GCGCGCGCGCCGCCCCTGCGGCCCCCGACCGCCGATGCGGCAACCCGACATGCATCACTCGATTCGCCACGCATGCTCCACCCAGACCGTCTGGTCTGCCCCCCTTCCTGGATGCCGCGGCACGTCGCCCCGCCGCGCCGCAAGGCCGCCATTTTCTGCCCTGCTCTTGCAGCCCCGTCCAAACCGCCTCTCCGCCCTGCCATCCATCCCCCCCCCATTTTCTGCCCTGCTCTTGCCGCCCTGTCCACGTCGCTTCCACGCCGCCTCTCCTTCCCATGCTTTCCGTCCCTCTCCCTCCTCCACCTCCTCTTCCCTTCCCTGCCGCGCCCTCCCCTCCCTCCCCCACACAAAATCACACACACAACACACACACACAACACACACACACACATACGCACACACACACACACACACGCACACACACACACACAAACTGCCTCGCCCCTCAACGCATCACACACCCAGGTCCGTGCAGCGGTCCTGACCGCATCGCAATGCGGTGAGTCGCTGCCCTCCGCCCCCTGCTACTTGATCCCTCCCCAATTCCACCGCCCGGCGCCTCCCAACCCCCCTGCAGTCAATTGGAGCCCTCGCAGCCTGCCATGCCCTAGGGCGCGGCCCATGGTGACTTTTCCCAGTCAATACCATCCCGTAATCAACATCCGACCCATCCATTAACACAGTCCCCCCCCCCAACCCACCCGTCTCCATTTTTCCGTCTCCCTGCACTCGTGGTCCCCTCTGTTACCGCGCGGCCGCGCCGCGGCGTCACCCGCCAGCCACCTACGACGAGACCAAGCGGCGCGTCATGGCGTCCACCGGCTGGGGCGACACCGCGGCCACCCACCTGGCGTGCTCCCTCATCACTGGCCTGGCGAGCACCACGGCCACCAACCCCATCGATGTCGTGAAGACACACATGTTTGTATCCGGCCGCGCGGGCGGCGGGCCGCTCGCGTGCGCCGCGGCGCTGTACCGGCGGCAGGGGGCGGCTGGGTTCATGCGGGGCTGGTGGGCAAACTACTCGAGGTGGGTCCCGGGGAGGGGGGTCGCGTGGGGGGCTGGTGACGTCACCGTGACGTCAGCGCTCGGCGGGGGCGCCGGCGGCGGCTGCGCGTCTAGGGGCGCGCCAGCCGCGTGGTGCCTCCTCTGTCGACCCTCCCCCCCCCAAAACAGCGCCCGGGCTCCTTCAGCCTGTGCAAACTAAGATTTTTCCAAGCGTCGGCGCGGCACCCTGATGACGCCGCTGCCCAGCCCGCGCGTTGGTGTCACATGCCACAATCCTGGGGTCTCGACCCACAAC